CCAGGTCTGACCCCCAAGACGACATGAATACTGTAGTAGTCATACTGGGCCTGGCCGAAGTTTAAAAAAAAAAAAAAAAAAAAAAACAACACTACGCTGTCACTTCCAACAACTACATTATGTAGTCGCACGTCCGCGTGAGGGACAACAGTACAAACTTAGAAGTCACGACTTCGACGATATTAGTGATGAAGTTGGTTGTACCTCCTGTTTTCCTTCCCTTTTTCCTTCTCTCTCTTCGCTTTGTTTTCGCTGCCTGGGGTCTCATTTTTCTTTGCTTGTATTGCTGAGGGAACATACATGTTCAAGTATATGTAGGCTGGTTTGTATTCGCGGGTCCCCATGCCATGGTTCATGGGCCACGCGTACTCATCCCGCGGATTAAAAAAAAAGTAAATTATCGTATCCGTTCCCGAAGATATGTGTGAATAATAATAATATTTTTTCCTTTTGTAAAAACTGTGAATTTCCACTGTAGCCTTGTCATATTTACACTTCACATCCGACCCACGATCACTCATGCCATGGGCTACACCACGTAGACTACTGGTACAACGATTGTTTGTCTTAGGCCTTGACAGATTATGCTAGCATAATTTTTCGCATAATTTCTACCAAAATCGAATACAGGTCGTCCCTCTTTAATACATAATCTCTGGGACTTGACAAATGTTATGTATTAACGGGGTTTATGTATTAAACGAAAGTGTACATAACTTGCTTGTATACTAGAATTTTTCACTTTTTTCAACTTTTCTGAGTGTTTCTTGCTGCCATGACTAGGGAGCGAGATATTCTTGATTCCCTCGATATAACATAAAAAGTATGTTATAACGGTCACAGTCAGCGAAGATTCTACAGTTTACATGATACATGCCCAGTCGCGCCTGTACAGTCACTCGAAAAAAACAGAGCTTTGTTGGTTTATGATGACTGTGCGCTCTGATTTCTGAGCTAATTGCGTCCACAAGTAGAAACTAGAACACGACGTGCCTCCACTGGAAGGCCAAAAGACCAACAAATTATGTACTATTGAGGTAGGTGGCATGCGGGTACGGAGAAATGTTACATGTATGTACTAACGGGGTTTATGTACTAACGAAATATGTACTAACCGACAAAATTTGTATGAATGTGACCACGTTTCGTCCGGGACTTGAGATTTCTTATGTACTAACGGGGTTTATGTACTAACCGGACTCGTATTAACGGGGGACGACCTGTAATCGCATAATTCGAGGCAAATTGCATACGAATTGCATAAAATTGGAATAATCCGCCTGTTCGCATCAAATTCCATACAGTTGTACATGATCTACAAGTACAAGTACAAGTAGATGCACCAGGAAGTCGTAGGTTTACGACTCCCTTGAGAATATGTCTAGTCCACTACAATCAGTGACGGTCGTAGCTAGGTCGGACGGTGCGTTGACCCCGTTGAACCTTTGCTACTACAGTACAACGCCCACTACAAAAAATTCCCCTGTTATTTTGCACAGATCCATTATACATGTACATTAGCAGCATTATGTGAGCATAATGCGGCATATTATGCTAACTTTCAGCATCAAAATAGCATAATTCTGCAATTTTTTCAGCAATGCGAAATGCATAATTTCACCAAAATATTAGCATAATCTGTCAAGGCCTAGCCTAGTTTGTCTCCATTTTTTACCGTTTTGCTAATAAGAGTTTCTTTTTCCGAAATTTCTTCTCGTTTTGTATCATTTTCCAAGCCTCGTATCGCCACTTCTGAGTTGTTCGGACCTCTCCCTCTCGCTTGCTTGCCATACATGTACATGTACATGCACGTGTGCGCGCACACACACACACATACACACACACACACACATACATGTACACACACACGTACGCACATGCAATATGCACGGACTATCGCACACACCTCAGACCTGCCCATCGCGGAAGCGATGATAGCGAACAGCTATGTTAGACATAGCAACTTGTACTGGGATTACACCATTCAACAGCTTGCAAGGCTGATGAACACACACACACACACACACACACACACACACACACACACACACACACACACACACACACACACACACACACACACACACACACACACACACACACACACACACACACACACACACACACACACACACACACACACACACACACACACCATTGGACCATTAGACGCCCATCGCCGAAGGCGATGATAGCGATGCTACAGCAGAAGCCATAGCAGCTTGTGCTGGGATTGCACCATTCAACAACTTGCAAGGCTGAAGAATTGACCGCCACTATTCAGCCTGGTCTACACCACACAGCTATGAAGTGGCTTTTTCTGGCCAGTGAACCCTACTTTTTGGTCTTTTTTTCATTTTTTTCCGCACACACATCACACCACATACTCCGGCATGCACTGGCTGTTGGTAACCACCCAGGAGAATGAAAGAAAAGTCAGAAGTCTGAGAAAGAGAAGAAACACGTGTGTGACCATAATCGTCGGGAATCGAACCCGCAACCTCTCGATTGAAAATCGCTGCACATACCACTGCACCATATGGGACACACACACACACCACACACACACACACACACACACACACACACACACGCACGCACGCACGCACGCATGCACTAACAAGTTAAAACCTAAGACTTTACATGACTGCAGTTACGGAAGAGGTACACAAAAGGAAATACAATACCAGGACTGTTTCGTTGTTACTCCGAGTCTCAGGGTATAAGCCAATCATCAGACAACATAAGGAGTTTAGAAGAAGCCATGGCCCTGTAAGAAGACCTTAGGTCTGTTGAGAATGCCCAAGTAAAATAATAATATACAATACAAAATACAAACACATGTACATGTGTAGGTACATGATATAATCCCAAAACTGGTAAACCAGTATTAGATAAACCTTGTTGTAGTTCACGCAATTGTTAGATTGACAGAGAAAAAGAAAAAGGAGTTTTTATACAAGTTAAAAAAGAGCGAAGACAACAAGACGAAATCAGGAGTAGTCTCCTAACCCCCTAGCATAACGAGGGTCAGAACCGGGTGCCATACCCATATCAGGCATAATTATGGTTCAAATGGTCCGCAGGGACCGGGGCTCTGCCAACCGCGGAAGGTTGTAGTAAGGTCACCGTTTTCGAACACAGTGTCCTCCTCCTTGTTTCATGCTGTCAATCTAACAATTATGTAGGTATAACTGGTCACTCACGACTCTACTCTAGACTAGAGTCCAGAAATCACAGGCAAAATGAAGATTGTAAAATTGATGTAATGTAGGCTATTGGCTAGCACTTACTGTCAGTCACATACTCAGTGATGCCGATGGTGCTATCAGTCATGACTCATGTGCCTACCACTACTAGTAGTAGTACACGATTCATGTTATTGGTTTGACAATGACAGCATGAAATCTATCCAATACGGCAATAGTCCTGATTGTACATGTACATGCCGTCATGCGTGTGCGTGCACGAGCACTGATACATGTACATGTACATGTGCAGTCATAGTCATTGTACATCATCGCAGGGGCTGATACGCCAGTACATGTACAATGATGTTGACTTTCTGACCCTCTGCATTGTGTACTGCTATGCTTGGGTGACCTACGTATACGCTACACTACATCATGTCCATACAGCCTTAGCTTACAGGATCAGAAATACCTCCCGCTGCTTCGTGACTAAGCAGCCGCACAGAAGGGGAGGAGCATCTCAAGTGCCTTCCAGTTCCACTCGACCCCAGGAACGACTTACGAAGTTCGTTGCGTGCTAGTTCCCGGGTGGTGGGGGGTATATGTAGCGTACGTATCTCGTCCATAACCATAACAGCTACTGTACATGTACATCACGTATTATGACTGCAGCTTTACAAGAAAGGAAGCACGAACAGTGACAGTACAGTAATAGTCAGCCCTGACACACTGTGTCAAAGAGGGCTGTGACGTTTCGGCCGCACATCATTATCAGCTTCCTCCTCTAAGCCTGTCACGTGACATTATCATATCAGCGACCACATATTCGTTACTACTAGTACTAGTACGTCACAGTATTTCCAGTCATGTGACGTCACGTCGTTAACTACATCTGCATCTGTTGGCTAGGCCTAGGCCCTGACAACAACTCAATCCAACAACGCCACGTCACAGATCCTTGTGGTGGTGGCCATCTACAATGACAATGTGAATTGTCTCATTAGGTATCGCCGCCGGAGCGACCACCATCAGCATATCCTTCGTGGATCACTTATCAACAGTGACGTCAGGACGCGCCCTTTTGGCACGGTACGCGGTGCAAGCTGGTGATGCGTGACAAGCTGCCCCTCGGGGGATCAGTTACTGAGTTAGCAGCTCGGTCGATGGCAACAGACCGTCTGTATGCACGCGGTGGTCTGCTTGCCCGTGTCCCAGACGACGGGATAGGATTGACCACGAGCCTAGCCACACGCAACCCAAGGCAAGGGCAACGGAGCCTGCTTTTTGATAGGGCACCACCGTACAACAGCAGGAAACGCATGAGTAGGGAAAGCGCCACTCGCGCTCGCCAGGTGGTGCTGCTCGCTGCTCGCTTGGATAATCACGTCTTTTGCCTCGAGGGCGGTGTTATCAACCAAAAGGGGGAAAGTCCAGCGCTCAGGGCGCGCGGCTATTATCATGATTTATCACGATACTACTAAGTAGGCCGTGTGGTAGCCAGTAGTTTCATCTGGGACGACGTGCGGAAGCTGGCAGCGGTGCCAAGAACACTGTTTGCTGCTTGATCGTGCGTCACAAGCACGCCGGTACATTGTACTTCTCTAGAGACTCTACCTCCTGCACTCTGCAGTGCAGGCACGGGTAGCTGACCGTCTACTGACAGTAATGAGTACGTATGTAGACTCCCTACAAGCATCATCGACGCATCATCTTTACCATAGCCATAGAGAGCGCTATGACTGCACCGCCACCACGGCACCAGCTCATTACTGACATTAGGCTTTGCGCCGCTGCAGTGTGATGTAGACTTTTGTAGTGCGTGCGGTCCACTCTCACGTCACGCCAGGGGATTTGAGTGGTTTTAGGATGTGAACTACGCGCTGTGCAGCCCTTACTACCTTAGGCCGCCCACTAGACGCACGCCCAGCAAAACCATATGCCACGCTTGTCCTGGTCGGCCTTGTCAACAATGTGTCGACTGCGCGCCTGCTGGGATCGCTCGGCGAAAACCCTTGTAAATTGTGGTCTGTTGCCGTAGCAGCCCTGCCCCGTGCACTTCGGGCCAAGTGCCTTATGAAACGCGTCCGATTTCAACCCAGAGCCAAGATTCGTGCAAATGATCGTGGACAAGTGAGCTGACGAGGCTGCCTGCCTGATATGACTGTGACTCTGAGACATTCTGTTTTGAAACGTTTGAGACGTGGGACGTGTCTGTGCACAACTTTCCTTATACCATTGTCCACTAGTATTACTAGCCTTTGGGCGAGTTGGCTTATGATATTTTATGCCAGCCTACCTCTGTCTCGGAATTATTTACATGCAGCCCACATTATGTGTGTGGTCTTGTGATGCGTGGAGAAACTGCTGATTCCATTGACAGGGAGACGAACAGGCCTACGTAGTCTGCCTCCTACTACTACTCCACAGCTAGCTGAGGTCGTGAACTATTAGTATTACTGATCGTCTGCACTCACAGCTAGCTGTACTGCATGCAGAGGTCGCTGGAGTTACCCGTGCTCAGCAACGCACCTGAGTCTGCTGAATCCCCCACCAAGGTGCCGCGAGGCCCTGGCTCATAACGAACTTGAGCCCTTCCTTGCGGACGCACTCGTTGTAATAACGGGAACAGCAGCAAACGTTCACTATCCGCTAGAGACACGGTCAACCGTCGTGTCCACAGTGCTAGCGGCGAGGCATGCAGTTTGACTTTTCGGTGGGCGAGCTTGTGCTGGTCGATTGGACGGACGGCAAGATATACTATGCCAAGATCAAGCGCATCGACGAGAAGAGACAGGTCTGCGCCATAGTGTTTGATGACGGAACGCGGGACGAGGCGCATTTTCACAAGATTCACAGTGGTAAGTCTTCTTCATCTGCCTGCAACGTTTTCCGAGAACCAGTGCTGCGAGCCCCGTTCAAGCTGTTGTGGCATTGCTCGCCAGGTCAAGCCCACTAAAACCTGGTAACTCCGAGCTTGCACATTATTTTTTGACGAATGGATCGGCAAAATTTATTTGTATCATTCTGCACTACTAAACTCTAAACTCTATAGTACTATTGCGTACATAAGCCCTGTGCTGCATGCTGTAGTGTACGTGTAGTCCAGATCGTTGAACGCACTACGTGCATGTGGATTGTGGTGCAGCTTGCTTGTTGATCTGGCCTTTCTGGAGTCAGTGAAGATCTACGACACAGACTACATAGTCAGTCGACGTCTTCATGTGCATGTGTACGAGAACGAGTGCTTGTTCGGGCGCTTGAGCTGAGATTCCGCCGGTCCTGTTCGCGGTGTACTACTACTAGATCATGTAGCAACTGAAGTAAACAGTTCAAAATTGTAGTTGTGTAGTTTGAGTTTCTGATGGTCGAGTGGCGACGAGCGCGGCGCGTGCGTAGATCTACTGAGAATTAGATCCCTTTTCCTCGAAGTCAAACAAAAAATACGCCTACGTCTCGCGAAACAGAGAGTTACAATCATGATCATTGTATCGCTAGCGCTCGGTACCGTCTCTGAATAGTGCCAGCATAAACTACATCGACGCGTACCCCGCTCCTAGGACCTAGATTGCTAGAATCCTACGCTCAGTTTGTTGTGAAGTCAAGTGTGTCCTCACGTAACGACACGTCTTGCGCTATCTCCGAGACCGCGAGAGCTGACGATCCTGGCCGGGACGTGGACGCGTCGGCGGCGCGGCCCCGTCCTGGGATCGCGAATTCGCGATCCCATTCATTCAAAAAATTGAAAAAAAAACAATGAATGAGATCTCGACTTCTAAAAAATTCCTTGATTTTTTCATGGTCTACGGACATGAACCATGTTCTGTTTCAGTGTTTGTGTGGCCCGGAGTTCTTGCGAACTGGCAGTGCAAATCATGTCACCGTCGTCAGTACATGTGCCAACGACACGTTTTCGTTTGGCTTGGCGACAAGAACATAGTCAAGCCCACAAAAATAAAAAATAATTGAAGCACCGTCTTTGGAGATTAGTTTCTCTTCGAGTCGTGCCTGGAATGCCAGACCTTCCTCTAAATCTTTTGGTCATGGTGCACCAATAAAGCAATACTAGACCCCGACGTTACGCTGCATTCGGCGACAAGCGGACATGGTCTGCCTCTGCTCGTAGCTTTCTGTCAGTTGCACAGCCGGAACACGCTGGTGTTTATGGTGTTTTTCTGTTGTTGCTCATCGGGGGGCAAGCGTTCACCTGACCAAGCTGTGTTTGCCAATCTCCTAGCCATAACTCTTCCCGTGCGACTGCTTGGCACTCCACAAGTACCAGTGCATGTTCTCCGTTTCCGTAACATTTCCGCCTGTCTGTCCCCGGCCCCGTCGACGGACAGATTCGCTACAGTCGAGTGGCAGGCGAGTTTCGAGCAACTCCGCGCGCTGCGTAGTGTCCACTAGAGCGAAGGTACGCAACGCTACATTCGCAAAGTCCGTTCAGAAATTACGGACAGCGGACAATGCTTTTCATGTGCATAAATAATTCAAGTTCCGCGTGTCTGTTGGTTCTGAGACGCACGTAATGCACGGTTGGTTGTGGGGGATAGTTTGTTGACAATGTTTTAGTCATGTAGTGATCATGGTGATCCCACATTGGATCCGCTGGCGTTTGAGCCGGTCTGCGGCACTTTCCGGTCCGACATGTTGGTACTTGGAGAGGGCCTGGGGCTGGGGTCGCCGATTGAGTGCAGCATGCTGCTGTGCACAATAGTGCTGGGGCGGTGACCGATCTACTTCTTTCCCGGAAATTGCAAAGTTTGCAGCTTAGACGTTTTGTTTTTTAGTCAGGTCGAATTTCGTCCTCAGGTAACGCGAGCCCTACATGGCTGCATCCCCGTTTCTTCCTTCCTTGTCTTGTGTTTCCCTCACCTTCCCTGTAGCTTGTAGCACAGGGTTACGGTATTAGGATGGTGCACTAGCTACACCACGTGACCACTACTAGGTTCCCCAACTCACGATGCACAGGTCAGACGAATTTCTCATCCAACTCCTTTACATGTGAAAACTGGGTACGGACAGTGAGCAGTAACTATTTATTTTCCTCATCCTGATAAAACAATAGTGAAGAGAGAGAGAGAGAGGGGGGGGGGGGGGTATTGTTTGAGGTTTATTTTGCACCGCAAACCTAGCGGGCATTGATGCCCAATATTATGGTGGCGATGGAATAGAAGAAGAGATGTGTAAAGTAGTACAGTACATTGAAGGTACGGTGCCAAGATCGATTAGGCACGAGCGTGCGAGTGCTCACATAACACTATAGCGTGATGTGGCAGACGCTAAGCCTGCAACTGCAAAATGAATGATGTGCACTTCAGGTACGACCCTCAAGATGCCTTTGCATACGGTGCCTGTGGATCTGTGCGTTTTCATTGGTTGGTGGTGAATCGAGAATTTGACTTCCATGGCGTTACCTCGTGACGCAGGTGCTGATTGGCTTTTGGCCACATTTATATTATGTCCATGAACTCATTTGAAACTGTCCACCTCTCCACACTGCTCTCTTGGTCCACGTTCACCACACCATATCTCCTTCCTTCTTGTTTTACGAACTGGGTGCGGCGTGGTTTCAAGTAAACAAAATACCATAGCGAGGAAGTTCGTTCTTGGATAGAGGTGGACAGTTTCAAATTATTTTCAAATAGCCGGTTCCGTTGTAACTTATGAGTCAATAAACTCATGGCATTAATAGCGCAATTTATATGACGAGTAGGATCAACATAATAATAATAAATATTTAAGTGGTTTGCTTCACTGTCCGAAGAGTGCTCAATGCCCATGTAGGGTAGAGCCTTGTACACAAGAGAGAGATTGGAAGCTTTGTCACAACTCTGAGTTTCACGTATTACTACGTACGCCTGATGATCGTAGTAAAACGTGGAGCTCACAGTTGTAACAAAGCATCCAATCTCTCTCTTGTGTAATAATAATAAAATGATAATATTCACAGGATCAACATTCTGTGAATATTTTATCAACTTTGGGACAATGTCGACCCAGCTTGTCATATTGTTTGTACTATTAAATTAAAAGTATTGCCCCTCGTCACTTGCTCAAGCAGCCGGGATGATAATTATGTGGATGTGGATGTGTGTGTGTGTTGTGTGTGTGTGTGTGTGTGTGTGTGTGTGTGTGTGTGTGCGCGTGCGTGTGTCTGTGTGTGCGTGTACCTCTGCGTATTCTGACCCTGCAGTGAGTGAGACAACAAACGAGTCTGACTGGATAGTGTGTGTAATCTGCAAAGGCGGTGACTCGGACGCACCCAATCTCATCGTGCTGTGTGATAACTGTGGCATAGGTAAGGCTGCGTGATACGTCCTGCATCTCTGTTGTCAATTGACATGATTGTACCGTATTTTCTCGATTATCAGTCGCACTCGATTATAAGTCTCACCCCCATTTTCAGGTTTGAGCCATACTGTTTTGATTATTGACCATAGTAGTAAGGCATGCTTGATTGTAAGTCGCACCCCTTTTCTTACCCTTAGACTTCAGTGTAAAACAGTGCGACTTTTATTCGGGGAATTACCGTATGCTTGCACGTTCACAATACCTACTGTGAAGTAACCAGCTTTCGCCAGAGATAAATCTTTTGAGAATTCCACTGCTTCACGAGAGAAAAATCATCGCAAACTGCTCCGTAATTTTGCAAACAATACAGAATCCAACTAGAAAGAAGAAGCACGAACGTTTCTCTTTGTGAACCAGTGCAATTCTTGAAAACGTCGAATTTGCACTCGGCGAACGTTTCTGGCTTTACAGTACAGTCAAGTTCACTAATAACGACTGCGGATATAACGACAATTCGCGAATAACGACAACATTCCCATGCCCAGAGCAAAGTCCCTTCCATCTGTAAAACATGTAATGAGACATCGGGTATAACGACACTTCGCGAATAACGACACTTTTGTGATGCCCGCCGAGTGTCGTTATAAGCGAAGTTGACTGTAGTTTGTGCTGATCAATTTGAACAATTTCTCCTGGGGTGTGCAATATTTAACTCGGATGGTGAGTCAAATTAATTATTGTGAAAAGAAGGACAAAATGTTACGAGTTTTGGGCCAATTTGTCGCACTCGCTGACTGTATAAGATCTGGTTACATTGGTGGACAGTTAGTCATAACTCGTAAAATTTTGTCCTTCTTCTTTTCACAATAATTTCTCCTGAAATCATAGTATCTCAAAGAACTGTAAGTCAACAAATTTTCGGCGCTCATTTATTTTCGGCTATTTTCAGCCTGATCTTATTTGGCCAAAAATTTGTTGCAGCCGAAATTTCGTTTTGCAAGGTTCAGTGTGACAGTGTATACAGGCGGCAGCAGCAGTGCAGGCCGAAAATTTGTTGCAGCCGAAATGTGTTTTAGCCCTAGGAGTTGTAAGTCAACAAATATTCGACGCATATTTATTTTCGGCTATTTTCGGCCTGGTCATATTTGGCCGAAATGTTGTTTTGCAAGTTTCAGTGAGTGCGTTTGATCATGCACGCGAATTGATTCATGAATCGATTCCCGCTATTCACATCACCCCATGTGAATATGGTGAATGGATTCCGAATCGATTCCAGGGCTCATGACGTGAAATCGAACGACTTGAATGCATGGGAATGGATTCATGAATCGATTCCAAGTGTGTAATCGAACGCACTCACTGTGGCAGTGATACAGTCAGCAGCAGTACAGGCGGAAAATGTAATGCGGTCGAAATGTGTGTTTAGCCCTGGGAGGCTGAAATTTGAATGGGCTGAAAATTTGTAGACCGACAGTACAGTGTGTGTACTACCGAGGAGTAGGCTGAGCCAAAACCCTACAGTCCATTTCAAAACTATAGACGCGTACCTAGGCAAAAACCGTTATGCCAGCATCTATAACACATAAAATCTGTGATCACTTTGTGCATAATGTTTTCCAAATCGGGCGTCTGTTATCCAATCGTTTAGAAACTATATGAGAGTAATTGTGGAGCGGACCTGAGCAATATTCCGAAAACTATTCTCAAAACGTTTCAGCCAAATTTGAAATATTTCAAAAACACTGCGCGTCTATAGTTTTGAAATGGACTGTAGCACACAATACAAACCAGTTCTAATCCTGTATGGGTTTTGCAGTGCAGTGCTTTCTTGCTCACACTTCTTCATGCAGCGACGCTACTGTAGGTCTACAGATTTTCGGCCCATTCGAATTTCGGCCTCCCGGGGCTAAAACATATTTCGACCGCATTAAATTTTCGGCCTGTACTGCTGCTGACTGTATGCACGGTCACTAGGGGTGTGCGGATTATGCTCGCACACAACCGATATTATGCTTTTGGGCATTTCCAGCGGAACTTCAAAAGTATTCTCCCAAAACATCGAAAACATTTTCTCCAGAATTCACCCCCCAAAAAAGACCCCAGCACGAACTGTGCCTTGCGCATGCTCTTTAGTATGCAAAATGGACGGTCAGGCACGTGATCACTGCATGCAGGATCTACACTACATGTACTAGATGTACATCTGACTGTACACAGCTACTATGTCGTGTCCGGGTATTGCTGCATGTACATGTACGTGTGTCCATGCATGCGCGCTTGTTCTCGGGCAGATCAAAATTGACAGAATTCTCCCAAAACTCTTCTGAAGGTCAATGGATCTGCCAAAAGATCGATAGAATCCCCCTAAAATTCCCAACATTTTCTCGACGATAGTATTCCCAAATTATTCCGGGAATAATCCGCGCACCCCTAACTGTCACACTGAATACTGAAACTTGCAAAACAAAATTTCGGCCAAACATGACCAGGCCGAAAATAGCCGAAAATAAATATGCGTCGAATATTTGTTGACATACAGCACCAAGTAGTCCAGCCTTTCCTTTCAGGGGCGTCGAATAATTTTAGGATGGTACGGTTACTGATGGGGTCGGGTGGCTCCGCTGAAAATTTCGAAAAGTGGAGGCCTGATCAGTGCTCTTTTTTAGTTTTTTTATTCCCAGGGTACCCGAGAGTGGTACGGTCAATGTCGTAGTGACCGTAGCATGTCCGACGCCCCTGCTTCTAGTATGTGCCCTGTTGTCACTGAAGCCCTGTTGTCACTGTGTGTTGCTCTGCTCCAGGCTACCACCAGACGTGCCACAAGCCGCCCATTCCCTCCGCAGCACTCGAGCCCGATGCCCCCTGGGCATGCAGCTACTGCACTGACGACAAACCTCATCCGTTCAGTCCCGAGCGGTCTCACACTGCCGGTTCATCGGACACCAGAAGCCGGGCGAGGGACACGGGCCCGAAAACGGATACAGCCGTGGGTAGCTCGAGCGCGAAGCCTGTGGGTTCTTCTGGCCTTGCCGACGCTGAACAGGAGAAGCAGCTTACCGGACGACGACGTAGCTCACAGAGGGTAAGTGGTGAGCTTAACCCTTTCCGGGTTTATGACGAGTATACTCGTCATGCAGACCCCATCGCGTCTGGGCAATGACTAGTATACTTGCGCTATACTTTTTTATAAAGTCCACCCAAGGTCGGCAGAGCATCCCAGACCACACGGCTGTCAAGAAGCGGCAACTTAGAAAGATGGCGTCGGTTCGAGATGGCATGGTAACCGCGCACGTGCCGTGGTCCGTGACTTGCTCATGTATGCACGCAAATGCAAGTCACAAACTCACAAAGATCGTCTTTGCATTTGGAGAAAATAGCTTCGACTCTCTTTGGAGGTTGGCGAGGTTTGCCTAATCTTTACTTGATTGCGATGCCGGTATGTCCTCTCAATAATTAGAACAAAGAGAGCTGATGATCGCTTCATTGCAGAGAAGAAGTAACAATCAACTCTCCTCATGTCCTCAGTGCCAAAGGCAGACGACTGCAATTCCACAACGCTCATTTCACGATGATGGAAACAATAATCGTGTACTAGTACACACTTGGACCATTTGGTCATCCCTATTCTAGCCGCTAGTCCGTCCAGCAAGCATATATTGACTATTACGATAAGTACAACTGCGTGAACGAGGGCTCACCCAGCAAATTCAATTCAAGACGTGTCTCCAGTCAAGAATTAGGGTCTTTACTCGAGAACTTCACAAATACGGGTCAAGGCACCCCACAAAACTGATAGATGGCACGAACGAAAGACAATAGGCTAGACAAAGTGTCCCAAGTGATTGAAAACAGCAGATCTACCAAATAAGACAGCTACATGTGCCTAAACAACGATTCCCATACAGTAGAGAGTAGTATCAGGCAGAATGAAAGCCTTGGAAGTGCACAAATACAGCCACGACCGCCACAAAAATTGGACGACCGCCACAAAAAAATTCTCATTGCTCTACCTCCTTGAAGGATGAAAGTTACCAGTTATCCTATAGCGATGTCAGTTTATGCCTGTTGGAACCCCCCACAGCCCGCACGAAATACCTTTCAAATAATTCCAGGATGCAATTGCAGCTCCAGACAGGAGGAAGAAGAACACCGTGAAAAATAACGGCAACGATGCCCAAACTCTCGGGAAACGGCTGAATTCTTCCTGAAGATGTTAACGTTGAATAGCCATCGATTACCAGCGTGGTTTGATGACTTTAGAACTGTTTTGAGACTTAGAACGAAGCGATATCTCAAATTTGATGGAATTGTTACCTGTCAAATGCGTGGGCGAGCAGGCCAGCTGACTGGTTATGCATGAACATGCATGAGCATGCATTGATTTTTCATGGTTCATGTGCAGAAAACTAAGTTGCCGCGATCCAAGTGCAGCTAACAGCCGTGACCACGCCACCACTCCCCTTATTCATGGCTCACACATGACGGGTTTACGTGGCTCTAGTAAAAAAAAAAAAAAAAAAAAAAAAAAAAAAACGTACCATACGCACTGATAGATCACTGTACAAACAGCCATAACTCTGGAACGGATTATCGCATCGCCATGATTGATAGCTCATTAGAACGGTCTTGGAAAGGGCTTGTGAACCTGCTTCGAGGCGAGGGCTCTTGTACTCTTCATCAATGCAGCCCTGGCGAGGCGAACCCTTAGATTCAGTCCTGCTTTTTTCTACGCTTGTGGCTATACATTTCTCAATATAGCCATCCTTTATCCAGACATCCTCACGACACATTCCAAGCGGTCTCTGGGCAACAACAATCACTACAAAAAGGAATAATAATAAAATAGTAGAAAGGAAAAGGACATAATTATGGATACGAGTTGAGAGTAACTCTCCATCACTGTAACTGGATACTATATGCAGTCATAAAGTTGGAAGGCTGTCAGTTAGCGCTACGGAGATGTGTTGAAGCTAGGTGTCAGGACGTCGAATGTCTCAGTACTCTTGTCAGTTTTGTGCCTAGTTATTGCACTTTCTGACTGTATATAGTATCCAGTAACAGTGATGGAGAGTTACTCTCAACTCGTATCCATATGTCCTTTTCCTTTCTACATTTATTTATGGCTCAACATCCGAGTTTCAAATAATAAAATCAGTGAATAATAAAATCATCCAAATTTTCCAACAAAGCCCATCTTCAGGAATTCAATCACTTGCAGATAAAACAGAGATCATCATTACAATGTAAAAAATACGAACATTGTGGCTATGGCTACACGTAGCAGCTGTGTATGAAAAATGCTAGATTGTTCGTGCAATCCCCGTCGAATAAAATGGATTTGTGTCTTTGCCCAGCGGAACAGGGGCATAGAATGTTCCAAGAACTTCTTTCAAGTATCATTCCGCTTTAGGCTCGCCGGAACCGGTCCAGTTGGTCAGGTCATCACCAGAATATTGTGTTGGCCACCATTGACATTGTGTGTGTGTACTCTTGAGGGGTGAGGTTATGTGTACTGGCCATGACATACACAAAGCGGGGAAAGGCTGAGGGAAGGTCGGACCAATCGAAAACTGCTTCCGGCGGGCCTGCACTGGTTCTGGGGATGCGCTGGTCACAGTTATTTCCTGCAGACTGGACAGCACTATGTCTCCACCTTTGGATTTTTCTTTTCATCTTTCCAGATGATCATGGATTTCTTTGACTACTGTAAAACGACAAACTTTCGCGGCGGCTAAATTTAGCGTTTTGGCAAACTGGACCAGTTAGCGGCGATTAATTTTAGCGATTTTACCTTCCACCGAAAATCAAAGAATTTTATTTTACGAAGCCTCGGAGTGCTGAGCGCAGAGTGCATGCAGAATGAGCAGGGGCGTCACACACGGTACGACCACTACGACCATGGTCGTACCACTTTTCGTCCAGGATGGTCCACCCAATTCATCCAAAAAAGCAATAAAAAAATTCAAGGATCTTCGGACTTGTACGAAACATCACAACTTTCATTGCAAGGAGCATACAATTATTAGGTTCAGACTTGATGCCTAGCAGCTAGCACCCCAAGACTCCAGGCGGCTATCCATTGCGATAGGCGGTTGGAGTCACGGGTAGAGACAACCAGATGATGGATTCCTCACGGACGCATTCACTGCGAACTTGACGGAAACAGTGCTGGCGGCGATCACTGGGTCCAGAACTAAAAATGTCCAAGATCTACCATGTTACAATGGCGATCAGCACGGTCAAGAGACACTACAACTAACGTGTTACTTGTCAGCTACAACAACATATTCTTTCCACAACGACACCTACCTAGTAGACCTACCTCTGGCTCCTGACGATCTACTGCAAGCTGATGCGAAAATACATTACATGATCTACACCCGCGAACGCCGTGCTTGTCAACGAATTAGGGAAGCGCTTCATTCTCCGAGGTTGAAAAGTGTTTGGACTGCTGCTCTACGGCGGCAGAACATTCTGCAGCTGTTCACCGACACGACCCGCTCCACCAAACGACATAAGATCGTTTCGTTCGAATTTTCTGGTATCAGCAACAAGAATTGCGTCCGCGACGACAGGACGAAAGCCTCTCGCAAACTAAAGTCCTGTTGCCATGAAGACAGAGAAGATTCCGCAAGCCCTTTCTTCTGCTTCCAGTGTTGTAGCTCTCCAGTCCACTGGCAGATCTTTCAATCCCAACGAACAAAAAAAGGATCTTCTTCTCTCTGTATAAAAAATGCAACTAACATAATTCATTACATGACGTACTGTACTTCGCGACTGTCCGCGGGCCGGCCGTGCGGCGCGGCACACTTTCGCAGGACATGACATACGTTTTTGCACAGCGGCTGGCGCTAGGACTGTACTTCGGATTTTGCAATTTTTTCGAGGGCAATAGCTTCATTTTTGCCTTGGTCACCTATGCATGATCATATGATGATATGCAGAAAATACAAAAAAATCCATGAGAAGCGTTTTTTTTTAGTTGGAGTGGGTTGTCTAATGCTATAGGGGAACCCTCCTTTGCGGCTGTAGAGTGCTAAAACGTGCCCTGTTGGCCGAAAAATCCGAATTTTTTCTCCGGGGGACACCCCGGTCGTACCACTCCAAACAGCCCTGTGACGCCCCTGATGAGAGAATAAATCAAAGAATGAAAGAAGGAATCAAGGCATCAAAGAGAACCATAAGGTAAGTACTAGTACTGGGAGAAAGGATGGCACGTTCGAAGAGGGATCATCGGAAGACTTTCTCTTCGAACTGCGGAGCCACTGCGATACTCATCGCGATACAATTCAGAAGACTTCTTCGAGCAGTACAACACTAAAATCTACGCAACAGCAAGCTGGCCAAATGCTCCAAGAAGTTCAACAACACTCTCCACAACACTGAGACATTCTCCAGTCGATCGTTTTATTCTCTTCTGGTTCAAGTCGCCGTACTCCAACGACAACTAATGTTTCAACGGTTACTTGCAAGACTGGTGTTGGTACGTAACCCGTCGTTGCAACAGCTGCGCTCTTTGGTTGGACATAGCCGGCCGTACAAGCATCGATCAGCGCTTTGAATGTAGATCTACACTACAGTCAGTGCAGTGAGTGATGCATGCGCATGTACTGTACAGATCTGTTGCAAAACGATCGATCGTACAAATAATAATTATTTCGCGGGTCAAACTTTCGCGATCCGACCCTGCTCGCGAAAGTCGCGAAAGTTAATCGCTCGCGAAAGTTTGTCGTTTTACAGTATCCCCATCCACCTTCCTATTCGTGACATTAGCGTTACTTGTAAGATACCCGCTTTTTTGTGAAATCCAAACCTGACTGTGCTGTTGTGTTCGACTTTGTCCTGTCGCCTCGCTTGCCTGCAGGTTGCTGCTGCTGGCACGAGCGGTAGCACAACGTCACTGAAGGACCCATGCTCATTGCCCTCCGTGCCAGCAGCAATGCGTCCTGAGTCGGATCGGTCGCCTGAAGCACAGGTTGTCGTCAGCACGTCCCACACGACAGGCGTTTCTTCTAGCGCTGCCCAGCCATCTGCCGAGACCTCCAAGACCACTGAGCGTCCGCAGGAGGCAACTCCGCTGCTGCAAGTCGCTGGATACGGTCACGGCGAAGACGACGACGACGACGACGACGCAGATATGTCCTCCATGCCGAGTCTCACAAAGACCAGTACTTCGCCGTCGACAGAACGCCGAGCAAGCCTGCCGGGGGTGCAGGCGCCCGAACCAACGCCAACCGCAGATCACTTTCCGGCTCCAAGTGCATCTTCACCGTCCGTACCATGCAACGATCCGAGCAGTGCTGTCCAGGCAACAGGACCACCATCTTCAGTTCCGATGCCTGCATCCAGGTCACCCAGTGCTGTGGCGAGCGCTTCTTCTCGGCATTCCTCGGTAGGGGAGGCTGTGGAAGACGACGGGGAACGTGAACAATTGGCTCTGTCCACTGAACATGTCGCGCATCCAGCAGGGATGGTGAGAATCGAACTGGAGAAGTATGTCCCGACCCCTGCTGCCGCTACCTCTGCCGCATCCCGGCCAGTTTCCGGCAGCCCTACTGGCGGAGAGACGAACAAGAGCCCAGGCACGCCGTTGCTCGACGAACGAGAGGACAGTGGTGCCGGCACTGTAGAGCGTTACCAGGGCGACAACGACGACGAGCCAATGGACTGCGACGATGGCGGCCTGTCGGAAAAGGAGCCTCCATCGCTGCACGCTGGCGTTGCTATGGACACTAGTACACCAGCGGCACCTCAGCTTTCACCGACTGCAGTGGCTTCTCCAAGCTACCAGCAGCAGTCAGAACCCTTGCAAGCAGCGCGGTCACCGCTCACCGGGCAGGTGCCTGCGCTGAGCAGCTCTGTTCCGCCGCAGGGAACGCGCGGCGCGGACGCTCCCGAGATCGTGGAGATCGTCGAGGACATGGTTGCCGGCGATTCGGCCTCCCCTGATTTGGCTTCCCCGCCGGCTCTGCTCGCACCCGCCTTGAAGTCGGTGGAGCGCCTTGATGCTGACGCAGGGGGCGGCCAAGCTCGGGCCATGGGTCCCGTTTCACCACCGGCGCCATGGCAGGAAAGCGCAGGACTGCAATCACTGTCACCACAGCAGCGGCAGGAACAAGAGCAGCAGCAGCAGCCACTGCAGCACCAGAATCCGGAGCTGCAGCACCAGATGCAGGAGCTGCAGCCCCAGAAGCAGGAGCAAGGCGATCAGCCGGTCCAGAACCAGCTTGAGCTGCAGCAAACAGAGCCAGCGGAGAAAGATGACCAAGGAATGACACCGCTACCGACAGAGGACACGTCAGCCGTACCAGATAGTGGCGAGCACCTTGAAGAAGAGCAACAACAAGAACAAGAACGACACCACCACCACCACCACCAACAACCACAACCACCACAGCAACAACAACAACAACAACAACAACAACAACAACAACAACAACAACAACAACAACAACAACAACAACAACAGCAGCAGCAGCAGCAGCAGCAGCAACAACAACAACAACAACAACAACAGCTAGACCAGATCTTTGAGCAGGAGCAGGAAGAACAACTGCAGCAGCAAAGCATGCCGGAACAGACAGAGACATCGGATCATGTTGACACTGAAGACCTTCATGCTCAGCAGCTGCAGCAGGAATATGAAGATATGATACCCGTTGTTGAATCTGCCGGCAGTTGTAGCTCGTCCGAGGAGATGGCCCCTCCGCTTGTCGCCGTTCACTCCCACACTGCCGAGCTGCCACTGTCCGACGTTGATTCTACAGCCGTGTCAGCGCCAGCCCTTGCAGCACAGAGTACAATTATCACACCATCCCTTGCAGCACAGAGTACAATTATCACACCATCCCTTGCAGCACAGAGTACAATTATCACACCATCCCTTACAGCACAGAGTACAATTATCACACCATCCCTTGCAGCACAGAGTACAATTATCACACCATCCCTTGAAGCACAGAGTACAATAATCACACCATCCCTTGCAGCACAGAGTACAATAATCACACCATCCCTTGCAGCACAAAGTACAATAATCACACCATCCCTTGCAGCACAGGGTACAATAATCACACCAGCCCTTGCAGCCCAGAGTACAATTATCACACCATCCCTTGCAGCACAGAGTACAATAATCACACCAGCCATTGAGGCACAGAGTACAATTATCACACCATCCCTTGAAGCACTAAGTTCAATCACACCAGTCATTTTAGAGGGCTCCAACTCGGAGGAGGAGCAGTTTCCGGCCGGCATCGAAATCATCGACGTGCCGTCTCAAGCGTGGGATGCTGATGACATGGACGACATGGCATGTGACTCACTACCTCTACTCATTGGTGATCCGGTCACTGAAGACAATCCTGCACGCATCATGAAAGCGTCGGAGCCAACGCATACAACCGAGATGCCCGCTGATGCTGAAGGAAGCAGAAGTCAGGAGCGTGGAAGTGCGTTCTCCCGCTACTCATCCAGTTCCACAGGACATAGTCACGGCGGCGTTCGGGAAACGCGTACTGCCAGTGGCGCTGAGGACTCCACGGCCGCTAGCGCTCCTATAGCAGGCAGACAACAAACAGCACCGTTGCTGGTAGACCCGATGGACATCGATGCTCCAGATGCCGCTCCAAAGGTAATGCAAGACAAGATCCATTCAGCACCGCACTTGCAGCAGCAAACTCCTCATGCCGCCCAGTCGATTCCGCAGCTAGCCACCACTGCAGGCCGAAGTTCCACTTCGCCCGGCGCGTTCGGTAGTTCACGTTCATCCATCATGGCCCCCGAGCAAATCCAGCAGAGCGTACTTGCCGCACTGTCATCCGGCGACGAAAGGCCCTTGCTCTCGCCGCTGGACCGTGATGTAGCAATGGAGCAGCGCCGTCCCGCCGCAGCTGCCCAGCAGGGTCGCACAGCCGACCCTGCTGGGCAGCCTGCGAGCACATCCTTGCGCTCGCATGCCGTCGATTTTTCTGGCGCAGGCAGCGGTGGCGGCAGCTCTTCGTCAAGCGTTCGCATCGCACCGCCTGTCGCCGGCTTTGCCGCCGACCAGCAACAGCGCATCGGCAGCAGCAGCGGAGCAGCACGACAACAAGCTAGTCATGCACTGTCGGCGGCGTCGTCGTCGTCGAGGCCTGCGCCCACGCAAGGCGCCACCGCAGCGGCGGCGCTGGCACGCGCCTCACCGGTGCGGCCCTACAGCACCATCATCCGCTCCAACTCGGTGGAGACGATCGAGATTGGCGAGACGCAGCAACAGCAGCGACCGCGTTCGTTGCCACCGCAGCAGCAGCAACAGCAACAGCCACAGCCACCCAGTCAACAAACCTACTCGCAAGCCCCCGCGCACGGACATGGACAACCAGCTTTAACCGTTTGTCCCCCGGGTAGATACGTGGCACGCGCGGTGGGACACGTTCCGCAGTATGTGCCCTCGGCATCGTCGTCAGCCAGAGGTGCTGGCAGCACGTATGATCAGGAGCAGGACACGCGGCATCTAGTGGCCACCAGGGATGGTGTGGCTGTACGGCCCGGTGTAAGTCTCTGTGTGGTTGTGTCTTGCTGCCTCTGTGCAGTGTGTCTTGTGGCCTCTGTACATGTGCCTTGCGGCCTCTGTGCAGTGTGTCTTGTGGCCTCTGTGTAGTGTGTCTTGTGGCCTCTGTGTAGTGTGTCTTGTGGCCTCTGTACATGTCTCTTGCGGCCTCCGTGTAGTGTGTCTTGTGGCCTCTGTACATGTGTCTTGTGGCCTCTGTGCAGTGTGTCTTGCGGCCTCTGTGCAGTGTGTCTTGCGGCCTCTGAACAGTGTGTCTTGCGGCCTCTGAACAGTGTGTCTTGTGGCCTCTGTGCAGTGTGTCTTGCGGCCTCTGTACAGTTTGTCTTACATGTGTGTTGTATTATATTACAGGGACGTCGGAAGGTTTTTGACATTGGGGCAGCCGTGTATGGATGAAGGGTCCAGGGGGTCCTCCCCTGGGATAATTGCAGGGAAATTGGGTTGCCCAAATAGCCCATATTCCATTGCTTTAAAGATCCCAGGATGAAATTGTTGGTGCGGCTTTGGCCGCACCTGCCGCACCGGTTCCAATGCCCCTGCAGTTCTGTCGGTCGCCGAAGAGCTGGGGGGTCAGCGTGCTAGCCTAGACCGTTCTGATGTTCATGTTGAACTGCACTCGATACGTAGACCTTGCGGCAAACGTTTCCAATGGCGGTGAGATTGGATTGGTTGTAGCCCGGAGTTTCAGTGGCCCTCTGTCGACCGTGTTTCTCTCATTCCCCATGTGGGTTTGGGATTGCCTGTTGAAGGTCATGAAACTTTGAATTGCAATCGAATTCATCCCAACGCCTTGGTCAACTCGGTTTAGCTAGGAGATATAGAGGTGATGTGAATGATGTCATGGTGGTGAATGTGTGGAACCACTTGTGGGCACTATGTACACAGTGCGAGTCTGCAGTGTCCATGGTTTCGTTGCCGAAGCAGCACCACTGATGATGCAAATGCATAACCTCTATATTTTTGGATTATCAGTATTCAAGCAAAGTTTGCAAACCCACGTACATTTGCGAAGGTGGTAACAATAATAATAATAATACCGTAAAATTCCGTTAATAAGCCCCGGGCGTATACTTTGCAGAGCGTCAAAAACCGGGCGTATATCTGGGCATGGGCTTATTTTAGGGCATGGGCGTTATTTCGGACGCAATCTGCAGAAGATCAATCTATCAGCAACCCACTAGTTTCAGTGAACCACACCGTTCACACTGAGAGCGGTACAGGTACATCAAACCACAGCTGGAAATTTGGTCGTAACCAAGAATGTACGGAACATCGCGCGCTGTCCTCGCGCGCCGTGACAGTGTTGAGTTCTGCACTGTGCTGCGTGCAGTTGGATGGCACGCACTCGATCTACAACTGTTCTACAGTTTGTACGCGAACGCACGCTCGCGCGCTGGTCATTTTGAGTCCACTTTACGCCCTTGGCTTATTTCGGGCATGGGCGCTAAAACGGACTTGCAGTGTACACCGCCTAAAACTGGGCTTATTATCGGACATGGGTGTTATTTAGGGTGGGCTTATTTACAGAATTTTACGGTATAAAAATATCAGTATTGGACTCGGGTGGAGAGCCAAGGATTAATTTATAAGACGAGAAAAGGACCACAGATTGCCAGTTAGGCGTAAAACCTCAGTGCCGTTGGCCAGTGCCATGCAATGTTATCGCATGAGCTGATTGTAAAGTAACTGGTGGCGTCAGTGGATAACTTTGTAGCGTAACTTGTAGCTCTTTGGTCCTTTTTTCTTCTTCTTATAAATATCACACTGGAGCTCGCGCTATTCCGCCGACTTGACTTGACTTCGTGTACCCTGGATGGCAGTCGTGAGTCAGTCAAGTGTCAAGTCAAGTCGGCGGAATAGCGCGAGCTCCAGTGTGGGAGCAAACCCATTCCTAAACAAAATCATCGCCGAAGTCGCAACTTCTATTAATTTTATAAATATCAGTACATTCAATTGGATTGGTGCTGCGGCTGTGCTTCCTCCCGGATCCGAAACTTCGTGACTAGTTGTTCAGGGTGTGCTTCCTCCCAGATCCGAAACTTCGTGACTAGTTGTTCAGGGTGTGCTTCCTCCCGGATCCGAAACTTCGTGACTAGTTGTTCACATCCTGCACAGTTTCTGTGCCCAAGAAATTAGATTCAGGGGAATGAAAACACTTCGAGACGATGATTGGATGATACTTGCTTGAAGTGCGTGTCCACAATAGAACAAACGAAGTTTCCACTGTTTCAGTCTTACTGGCCTGGAGGTCACTACCACTTGATTCCTGAGAGCTCAATTCACAAAACGGACAGCTGATGTCACGAAGTTCTTGATTCCAGAGGAAATATCAGGATTCCACTTTAGGAGGACTATGCAGTACCACAAATACAGAGAAACCTGTCTAAGACACTAAACAGTCCGGAATAAAAGCCGAGGTAAAAAGAATTAAGCATAAGCGGTGCTCAAACCGAACTCTGACAAATCAGTTCACCAGAGAAGTAATGCGGTCAACCTGTCTGCACTCTGGTGAAGGAGAAGAGTGGCTGGACCATCGTTCTGCAGCAACAGAGCTTATCACGAATGAACTCTTAACGTTTCCACCATTTCGTGATCAGCTCTCTGTCACAGCAGAAAGGTCCAGTTTCTCTTCTCTTCTGTACAGTGAAACCTACCTAAGGCAGCCAGCTGCCCAAGGGACCGAATGTGCTGGTCCCAGTGCCCATGTGGTTTTCTTATCCAGGGTCATTTGACTGGAAATAACATCCCTTGGTCCTGGTTGTAGTGGTCCTCTAGGACAGGGGTCACCCTGTCAGAGTGGTCGCCTGACAGGCGGTCACCCTGACAGGTGGTCACCTGTACCTGTATGACAGTAACACCTGTCAAGGTGACCACTCTGGTAAGACCACCACCTGTGTCTGTCTGTTTGTCTGTCAGAGGACCTCCACAACTGGGAATGACCCTGGTCGCTAGGATAAAGATTACCAGGACATAGGGAGCACAGTTGTATGGTCCTTTGAGCTGTCACCTCTGACAGGTTTCACTGTACGGTGGGATGTGTGATGTGTGAGTATGAAGCGAAGAAACCCAGGTGGATTGTGACTTTAACAGTTTACATGACGAAACTGCTTCGTGGGACAACTGATAGCAAAGCCCTGATACTGATCATAACTGTAGTGTATAGTGTTTGTCGCCTTATTGTCTCTCTCTGTATTGTCTCTCATTATATGCGCATAGATGAGAGAGACAATACGGAGAGAGACAATAAGGCGACAAACACTATGCACTGCAATTACAATGCTGACTAAGCTGTTAGGCGCAGGTCATGGCTCTAAAATTATTCTCCATAACTGGTTATGGACTAGCTTCACAGGCGTGTGCGCTATCTCTAACCCGTACCGCTTAGGTGTGCTGACCTACATTTCTAGTATTATAGCATTTTGCGCGGGGTAGATGGGGGGGGGGGGGGGAGGGGAGGGGCGCCTGCTCTGTGATCTTCACCAAATATTTAGCACCATGACGCATAGACAGTTCTAGTGATCTATCCCGGGGGGGGGGGGGGGGGTTGTATCCGTTGTCTGATGACTGCTTCGACATAACACGTTGAGTTGCAACATGATCGAACTGAAACTCTTCTCTTCTTTCGTGTAGGAAGCATCTCTTGAGCACTATTTTACGGTAGTTGCCACAACTTTCCATTTACACATTGCAACAGTGGAGCAAGGCTGGTTTGTTGAAACTGTGAAGCAAGACGAGTTTGTTGCGATTATGAAGTTTCATGCTCCGTTCAATCATGGTGAAACTCGAAGCTGCAGTGAATTCGCCTTGCCTCACTGCTGTGCTGTGCGCTGCTACGCTCTGCTCTGCCTCGGCGGTACCCGGTTACGCTCAGCATGCTGAGTGCATCCTGCCGCCAGTGTCTACGTGTGTGTGTGTGTGATGTGAGCATCAGCGTGCTTGGCACCTTTATTCGCATCCATGCTATTGAGTACCTCTGCTCGTTTGGTCACTGAGAGTTAAAAAGAAAATCAAGCAAACAACGAACAAACAAACAAACAGAACATACCCAGCGTGCCTGTGCATGCCTTCACATGCTAGCACCAGTCCCCCCCCCCCCCAGTTCTCACCTGCCTGTCCATGCCCAGGCCTCGTTCCACGCTGGAGCACTTTACTGTAGAGAAATGGAATAGTCAAGCCGCTGGGGCGTTGCTATGTATCTTAGTGTGGTACGGGCAGCCACGTGAAGTACAGTTAACTCGTGGGGCTGGGATGGCTCCTCTGAACAATGTCCGAAATTTCGATCCCAAACCAGTAGTGCATTTTATTGATTCGCTGGGTACCCGAAAGTTGTGCGGTCAATACCGTAGTGGCGGTCAATACCATGGTGACCGTACCGTGTCTGACGCCCCTGCAGAGTAAAGGGCTCAGCACAATAATGTGGAGCACTGCCGCACACAAAAAGGCACAGAGGTGGTTTGCAGAGTATGTGGCAACTCCGAGTTTCTCGCACGATGCAATGAACTATTGTGTATGTGGTGTGTATGCATGTGATGTGTACTAGTTAATGTGTATGCAATGTGTAATGTGTAACTCTGGCGTTGATGTCCTTGCACAGAGTCGCCCAGGGACAGTGGTACGACCAAGCACCGCCTCACCGCCACCTGCTAAGCGTCCGCAGCTTGAAATGGGACTCGCGGACGCGGCCGCTGCACCGATGGAGAGTCCCGTCTCTCAGCAGCTGTCCAATCTGTACAAGAGGCGTGCTATACGCGATGGCAAGCAGCTGAGAGAGCTGCCGCCCATCAGCAGTGGGTCACCACAGTCCGTGATGAGTGCCACGTCCGGTGCCGAGTTGCCTAGCAACCGTGCGGCGCCTCCGCCCTCCGTTGCCCACTCTGGTCAAGCCACCTCCGCTCCTGCTCAACTGGCTCCGTCCCGTCGACATTACTCCAGCGCTTTCCTAGGCAACACGGACCCAGCTGCGAAGATCGCGATGGAGGCTGCGTCGAAGCGGAACACCGACATCACGGTGCACACGGCGCCGACGCCCATCGACCAGCACACACCACTTCCTGGCGTCAGGGAGCTGCACGACTTTGTCACCGCAAACAAGCCATTTCTGTTGGACCGCAGTGTGGTTGATAATCTGTGGCTGTTCAACTCGTCTCTGATCGGCTTCTACGTGTCGTTCGGCCATCGACCTAACGAGAAGGAGCTAGTCAAACTCGAAAGCTGTCCACTGCAGATGAATAGCCAGCACTATGCCGAGATAACACGTGTGTACGTGTCAAATTCTCGCAGCGCCACCAACCAGCCTGTGTTCCCCACTCCACCGCTGACGAGCCACAGCACCGCCATGCCCACCACTAGCGCGGGCTTGCAGCGCAGCACGTCCGGTGGAGGATCCCGTGGCGGCCCCTCCTCCTCCGCGGTGGCGACGGCGGCCACGCAGCCCAGCCTGGGAGCTGGTGGCGGCGGCGGTGCACCTGGCGTTGGCGGCGGCGGTGGTGGCAGGTATGTGGGCGCTGGCGGTCGAGGCATAGCCAACACGTCGATGCCTCAGAGTGCGTACGCCGAGCTGCAGCGGCGAGACGGCCGTACTAGAGCGGTGCGACAGCAGCAACTGCAACAGCAACAACACTACATGCAGCGGCGGATGCAGCAACAGCAGCAACAGCAACAGCAACATGGAACACAGGGTTACTCTACTGCCCAGCAGCACTTTGGCGCGTACGGAGGCCGAGCACCTGCCGCAGCGGCATCCACCGCTGGCAGTGCTGCTGCTGGTGGTGGCTCAGCCGTTAGCAGTGGATCGGCCGCGTACCGTTACAGCACCGGTGAAGCGCCATCACAACAACAACAACAACAACAACAACAGCAGCAGCAGCAGCATGCACCGAGGCCATCTATGCAGCACATGCAGAATGGCGGCGGTGAGGCTGTTGCTGGTGCTGCAGCTATGCAGCAACCTCTGAACACTGGCGGTGCGGGAGCGGTCGCTGCTGCCAGTGGAGGTGGTGCTGGCACCCCTCCTGGCAGTGGCGGCTTTCAGGATCCTCGCACGCGGATGAGACGACCCCGCACGTCTCCATTCATACCGTACTCGGCGACGCCGCAACCCCGCAAGCCTGCTCCGCAACAAGCACAGTCCTCCATGGCGAATTTCTCTCAACAGCAACTGAAACAGCAGCCGCAAGGATCCGTGGAGCAAAGAATGCAGCAACAAATCCAGCTATTGCAGCAGAGGCAGCAGCAGCAACAGCAGCAGCAGCAACAACAGCAGCAGCAACAGCAGCAGCAGTACGCAACACCACAGCAGGATGCCATTGGACAGCATCCGCCGCCAGGTCAGCAGCAGCAGCAGCAGCAGCAGGCTTCACAAATGCCCCGCCCGGTCGTGATGGGCGAGCAGCCTCAGCAGCCTCTAGCGCCACGTCAGCAGCTGGAGCAGCTCTACACGGAGCGGCAGAAGGCGGCCGCTCAGCGACTGCAAGCTAACAATCGACCGGACAAGCAAACATACGTGGCCGTGTACAGACCTCGAGGCCAGCAAGCCAATCAGCCGGACACCGCTACACGACAGCCATCAGATACCCACCAACACCAATCGAAGCAACCCGAGAGAATCGTGATCAAGGAAGAAGACGACGGATCGCCGACGCATCGCGAACAACATCTTGCGATGGGCGGCAGCAGCTCGCGTTCTAACTCACGCTCTCCCAGCGCGGCGCCAGGCATTAGCCCTGCGCGGCAAGGTAGCGGTAACACTGGTGGTTCCCGGTCATCGAGTGGTGCAGGCCCAGCAAGGGGATATCGACATGACGGTGATGCGTATGCTCGACACCCTTCCAACTACTCACAGCAGCAACGACAGGTGCGTACACAGCAACAGCAGCAGCCACAACCCCAACAACAGCACCAGCAAATACAGCAGCATCAGCAACACCACCAACAACAAACACAGCAGCAACCACAACAACAACAACAACAACTCCAACAAGGCGGAAATCGTGGTGCGTCCGCTTGGCGCGAGCCCGTTGCAGACAGTGCACCGAGCAGGCCGCAAGCACGCTCAGACCACGCGCCGACCGCCAACGCGCCACAACAGCATCAGTATCCCAGCCAGCAGACACGCCACCACCAGCAACATCAGCAGCAGCAGCACATACATCATAAACAACAAACACAACAGCAACAACACTACCAACAACAACACCAGCAGCAACAGCAGCAGCAACAGCAGCAGCAGCAGCAGCAGCAGCGACGGCCTGCAGCAGATCAACGTTCGATTACCGGGGCCGGCGAGATTGGTTCCAGCACAGATGCACGTGTCCATTCGGCTGATACGACATCGGCAGATCCGAGGGACGTATCCCCTCAGTCCGACCCGAATCAGATGTGCATCGGTTGTGGAGCTCCAGCCAAGTTTGTGTGCTGCGTATGCCGTCTCAAGTGGTACTGCACTCGGGAGTGTCAGGTAAGCCGAACGTCTTCTTCGTTTAACCCATTTAAGGCTACAGAGCATGGCACCCAGGCTCTACACTTCTTATTTGGCATTGAAAACCACGTCCTCAGCTCCTGGGCGTCATTTTCTATGAGGTACATGTATTATGACCACGAGTACATAACCTCCCTGCTGGATCAGGCGTTGCACACTCTGGGGGGTTATGTACTCTTGATATGACATACATACAGTCAACTTCGCTTATAACGACTGCGGATATAACGACAATTCGCGAATAACGACAGAATTTTCATGCCCAGAGCAAAGTCCATTCTACCTGTATACATGTAATGAGACTTCGGGTATAACGACACTTCGCGAATAAGGACACTTTTCTGATGCCCCGCCGAGTGTCGTTATAAGCGAAGTTGACTGTACATACATGTACGTGATAAACGCTGAATGGGTTAAGTTCATAAAGATAGGTCAAACATTCACATGTTATCCGTTGGTTTGTCAAACGCTACCAATAATTATAAGCAGGATGCAGGCGAGTGAGAACAACTAACTGACTGATGTGATACTGGCCTGATATATTTGTTAGGGGCCATCCGTAAATACCGATATTTATTAAGAAACGAAAACTAGTCGTTTCTCCTCAACCCTCCCCCTCCCCGAGAAGCGAACACATGCAAACGGTACATAGAATCGATATATTTTTTCTTTTTATCTGGACGTGCTCACACGTACAAACTGTGCGTCGATATTTTTTGGAGAAACGAACAGGCACTCAACCCTCTCCCCCATAAACGACTAGTTTTCGTTTCTAAATAGATATCTTTATTTACGGATGGCCCCTTAGCGTAGGGCAAACAATGGATAACGTGTCTGCTTTTGGTCCACTGTTTTTAGTTGTAATCCTTGGCTCTCCATCCAAGTCCTTTCTTCTTCTTCTTTTTCTGTTTTAAATGTCCAACACCACCGTACCTGTTGTGAAGGAAAAAGAAGCTGGCACAATTAATTTAGAAAGGCGACGTGGAGACAATAATCCTAAAATAATGCAACGAATAAAACTATATGCGCACTCAATATCACAACCAGAGCAACAAGTAAATAAGTGTTCCAGACACGTTGTCTTGTCACGATTATCAATTTATTCGTTGCTATGGTTGTGATATGAGTGCGCATATACATAGTTTTATTGAACATAGTAAGACAAAATCATTTCGCAATTAATGGTATAAGTATTCATTAGGTTGAGGGAAAGTAGCAAACAGGAAAGGTCTGAAGACAAATTGACCGCCGCCACCAGGACTCTAACCAGGGACCCTCGCTTATGGCCAGCGATACTCTACCGCTAAGCTTTGGTGTAGTCGTCATCCAAGCAGCAACAGTTCTGCGTTTTCTCCAGACTTCGAAACTCACGCCAGGGGCATTTCTTTTCTGGGCTGTTGCATGTACCCGTGTCAGGTGCTCAGATTTGATTCACTGTTCTTGGTAATGTCACCCGTAATGACTGTTTCAATTCGCACGCTTGAGGGGGGTTGGAAACGGGAACAAGTCTGAAAAGACTCGGATGGAGAACCAAGGATGTATTGGAAGAAAAACAGGACGTATTAGTATTGTGAAACTTGTAGTGCATGGGTCATTTTTCTTCCTGTAAGTCTGAAAGAAAATGTGCCTGTCACGACCAGGCCTGTAAGCAGCGATGGTCACTTATGGCCAGCTATGCTCTACCACTAAGCTTGGTGGAGTAGTCACAATTCTTCTTTCTTTCTCGACTCCGAGTGTTTGTAAATGTGTAAAACAAACTAACCTTGAGTTTGTACATGGAATAAGTAAGTTGAAGACAAACTAGGGTGAAGCCGAGGTTTGTAATATAGTCTATGTATATAATATATCCCAACAGTACGCTTGTACGTGAAACATAAACCAATACACAAACCGAAGCGCAGCCGAGGTTTGTATGATGGTTTATATTTCACGTGCAAGCGTACTAGTGGGATGTATTATACATATGCTGACTTTCATACAAACTCACAGTCAACTCCTCTTAGGCCAGCCCTAACTCCGGGGCAACGGTATAATGGGGTTTATATTGAGCTGAGGCCCAATATAAACCACCTGCATGATGGGCGGGGGGTTTGACTGGAAGTTTGTATGAAAAGTCAGTATAATGTTGAATAGATGTTCGCTACGCCTCTTTTTCATCACCCTTTGTTTGTTTCCTGTTCAGCTATTGTTTGCCCTGGAATGCTACATGTATTAAAATGGTATTAATTGAGTGGATTTTGTTTTGTGTCTATTCTGTTTGTGTGTGCGTATGTGTGTGTGTGTGTTTGCACATTGTGTGTAATTTATCGCAGATTGCTAACTGGAAGCGCCATTGTCGATCATGCTCGAGCTAGCCTAGCCTAGTTGTTTGGGCTGACCACCTGCTCTTGTGCTCTCTCTGCCTCTGCGAATGATAGCATGGTGCACATGTTAGAGAAGGCTTTCGCTAACCTGCACACCATCATCCTATTAGTCTGTTTCTGCTTACAAGTCATGCTCTTCTTTTCGGCGTTCTGCTGTCGGTGGTGAAGTGAGGCTAATTGACTGTCCGGGCCCTACAGCTGTTCACGTCTCGTCTGCACCGGTCCCATTGAGCGGCTCGGGTGACGGAAAAGTTGGTCGTACAATCTGCTGTCTTGTCTGTGTGCCAGATCCACCAGCCAGTGTTATTGTTGCATGCGCCCCTCATTCGCTGTTCATCTGTTATGTGCTCGTTTCTTGCCCGTGCTGACTTCTAAATAAATGTTGTAATTGCTTACCTCACCCTTTGCTTTTCTCGTGAATGTTCATATTTATGTTTTGTATTTATTTCCCAATAATAGCACAGAGCTGCTGCTAGTTCTGGTATTGTTTTACCTCTTTATCGACGATCCAGGTCATAATCAACCTTCAACATGCTCTCCACGCTTTCAATGCTCACACACATGCACGCATGCACCACGCTAATTACAATCCCCCGCAGTTCGTCAGGGATAGCCATTTTGGCTATCAGGATCCTTCAAACCAAACGAGTGTAGGTATCATTCCAGAATTTTAGCCGTATACAAACTAAACGAGTGTAGTTATTCCAGAATACATCCACATGCTGGGTAAAAGTAATTAACTGGTTTTATTTCTCCTCCATCCAAATCAGAATATTCAGTCTTATCTCATGATAGAACTAAGAATTCAACAAATAGAAACAAGTGTTTTATTAAAAGAATAGGTACTGTTTCGTGATTCGTGATAATAGACGCGACTGTTTCGTGATTCGTGATAATAGATGTGAGTTTCTCTGTGCATACATGCGTGTTACTTTTATAGCCTATCCTGGCTCTGAACTTCATTCACACCTGAAATGATTGGTCAACCTCCCTCGGCTAGTCGGAGTTCAGCAAGTGATTCCTCTTGGTTTTCTGATGATGGCTGTAGTCCAGGCAACCAATGGTTGCCTGGGAGTGTGACACATTGATACGAGTAGGAAAAGTGAGAATAAACTGATGAAAACCCCTTGCCTGCACAGTACTGGCTTGTGAAATCCGACCCAGTGGTTAAAATAGCTGCGCGCGCTTTTGCGCAGAGTAGTACATTGCGGTGCATGGTAGAAGTGCTGCAAAGTGCTGGCAACACAAATCTCAGGGGGTCGAATTTCACAGGCCAGCACATTGGTAAGTGATGTTCAATCATCAGAAAGCTACTGGCGAGTGTCGTGGGCATGGAAATCCAGTCGACTGACCGGGGCCGGCGCCCTCAGCTCAGCGCGTACAGATATAGGCCTTGGCGGATAATGCTCGAAAAGGTGGCAGATTCTGCTCGAAAAGCAGTGAAATTGGCAGAACCATACAAACCTTATGGCGGGCAATTCCTCGAATTCTGCTCCATTTCTTTATACACATACCAAACATGCATGAAACCTACCAGAAAAAGTATCGAATTCTGCCAATTTTCTGCCGGCTTTATCCGCCAAGGCCTAGTACTACAGAAAGCTGCATAGATTCTACAGTCAGTGCACGGTCCTGTTGAGCCGATGCAACCAGCGCGCTGCAGCGCATAAATGCATGTGTCACATTGTGTGTAGCACGTATCCACGGCTGTGTGGCCAGTGCCCTGGGGCCGCTAGACGTGCAACCAGATTCCCATGTCCGCGACAGTACATGTAGATACAGCAGCAGCAACAGATGTCCAAAATACTACAGAACAATATCAAACCATAGCCCACCAATTGTGCATTGATTGGGTTGAGGGAAAGATGTGAACGGAAAAAGTCTGAAGAAGGAAGCGGCCAAAAGTGCCGTAGTCATCATGCCTGTGAACCATACCTACCCAGCTGACAACTCCACTTCGTATGCAGTGCTCAATATCTGCAGGGGAGGGGATTCTCACTTAGAAGTCGGAAAGAGGTTCTATGTGCAACTTGAGTTTCACACAAAACAATCCTCAGGCAAACCGCTCCACACCCGTGTGCTCTTGTTGCCGCCTTGATGGAATTGCAGGATCGAAACACACATACGTGCAGACAGACGCAACAACAGACAGACACATACACGCACGCGCTCGCGCACACGCTCGCGCCCACGCTCTCGCCCAAGCTCGTGCCCACGCTCGCGCACACACACACACACACACACACTCTCGCTCTCTCTCTCTCTCTCTCTCTCTCTCTCTCTCACACATACACACACACACACACACACACATACACACACGTCGAAACCTTCGACCTCCTACCTACTGTAGAATTACAAATTTTCGTTCACGAAATCTTTCCTTAGATCACTCCACCAGCAGGTTCGTTACGGACTAAATTTCGTTTTCGGTTGAGGCCTGTCACCCCGAACGTTCAGAAAAAAACTTTAGTTTGGTACAAACTTTAGTTATTTCGTGCTCCCTAACGAATATAGCGAAAGTCAATTGACGCGCACGCGCACGTAGCGCATGACCGCGCCTGCCTATGCGCATGCACACGCGCACACACACCACACACACACACACACACACACACACACACACACACACACACACACACACACGTGGACCGTGAATGTGCACAATGGGATCCATTTGCCTCTGGAGAATCCTTGAAAATATAACACCAACAATATGCACGCAAAATACACACACACCCACACACACACAGCATTAAATTGAAACCCATGATGAAAATTACAAACACACATGCACGCGTCACATGTGCATGTCGCTTCACTTCCTTGTGTTTCAAGGTTGCTTTGCCCCATGCCACCACTGGATTCAGTTCTCTTAACTGGAGCAGACGAAACCATCACAAGGAAGACACCGTAACAGGCCCGGAGCCAGCTCCCAAGGGGTGGTACGGCCCCAGGTCGGCTGCAGGGCAGATAATTTCCGCATGCCCTGTTTCAGTGTCTTGGGAGGGTCGTGTCTAGCTAGCTGTGTGCGGCATCACATCTGCTTGTTCCAGCTACACACATATCATGTAATGTGCGTGTATACAGCCAGTGCTGTAGTCCTCACAGGACATGACAATACTATCTGTATTAGGATGACCCAGAGGCTTGTCGCGATGAAGACCAGTTTATAGGTGAGAGACTCTTCACGAGGATAGCCGATTTGTACCTTCACACAATTGACCATACACTGGACATCTGTGAAATCTGGAATTTATAGAAACTGGCACTGTCATGGCCATACCAGCCGTACCAGTGGTGCCTGCCCTGATTTTTTTGTATTTTATATTTTAAGGATTTCCCAAAGGCTTTGGGCCAGGGAGTCGTAAAATACCGGGAGGCGACACGCCACACAGTTCACGATCCGGGGATTGCTTCAATCGACCCGCGAAATTTGAAACGTGATTGAAACGTCGTCATCTTCTTTTCTCAATTGTTTTTGCTACATGTATATGCTTCGAGGCCTATTCTGGATCTCCGGAGCGAAAGCTGGTTGTTTCTGATACGTACCACGCATTACCTTAGGTTGAGCCGTGGCATTTGTTTTTGGAAGTTCGCTGCTTTGGAGACGACGGAATGTCAAGGTAAGTTATTCACGAAATGTACTCAACTCTGAATTGAGTCAGTGCGAATGACACCCTCTTTTCGGAATAGAACTCCACTAAACATACCATGCCCATGGCCCCTTCATGTTGTCCAAGTTCCATTCTCGGTTTGTGTGAAGTTTCGAGATGAAGTTCGATGATGTACTCACCTTTCCATGGAAGGGAAAAAAGTAGCATATCAAACAGAATCCATGCAGCATTTGATGCCACTATCCTCATTCTTCTGCATTCAAAGTGTTTCACATTATGGTCCATGAACTGCACACAGTATTTGTCATATCTTAACTGTTCATAACTGTTCTGAACACATTGCCTTCAGGAAACGTAAGGCAGAGTCGCCTGACCGACTGAGCAAAGTTCTCTGCGACGAAAGTCACGCTATCGGCGAATGCACTCAGGGCAAATACAGTACCCATTGTTAGGTACCTCCGCCCCTGCTACGTCATTCTCCCCTATGTCATTCTCACCTTTCGTTCCGTTGGCCTGGGTAGCTACTTGCGCACACATGTTTGCCATAGCTACCCAGGCCCTATATATTGCGTCAACTCTCTTCAGATCTCTCTCTCAACTCTCTTCAGATCTCTCTCTCTCTCTCAACTCTCTTCAGATCTCTCTCTCTCTTAACTCTCTTCAGATCTCTCTCTCTCAACTCTCTTCAGATCTCTCTCTCAACTCTCTTCAGATCTCTCTCTCTCTCAACTCTCTTCAGATCTCTCTCTCAACTCTCTTTGAATCTCTCTCTCTCTCTCTCTCTCTCTCTTTCACAATGTAGTTGTTTAGTTCCTCTTTCTCTCCGTCTCTCCGTCTATGATAAATGTCTTCCCACTACTAGTACCTGTCCCCAGTTGTTCCTTTGTGTCCTGGGATGGTGACGCCTTCTGTGACTCATCACCATGAATACCCTGTATACTGCTTGATCCACTTATCACAGAAGCATACACACACACATGCACGCACACACATACCCCAGGTATACGCCCCTCGCAAGAGAAGCACTCAAATCTGCAAATGGGTGAGTTCGGGGCGCTTAGTATGCTACAGATTATACATTCGTGTTCACAAGGACAAGACGAGACCAAAAAATGCAGACGAGAGAATCTCACTAGTAGTCCACAGCTGAACATCTCCACAACTCGGGTCACCAAGTGGATACGTGGCGTATCTACATCTTCCACGGTGGACTCATCACTTTGGCAGGCATCTCTGTCAAGCTCCATCATCCTTTACTTCGAAGGCCAAGGCACAAACTTAGAATAACCAAATCAACTGCTGACACTCGGACGATTCCTTGGGAGCAGGATTATTTTTTGATCTTTGGGACCAAACAGCGAACGCGTCCTTTGTGCATGACCTGCACCGCTTTGACCTCATGGGGATTCTATATTTTTCCCTCAGCACTCGTGCCCGAGCTGAGTCAATCATCCGACGCGGTTGTGCATCACGTGTCGCCTCCCGGTATTTTACGACTCCCTGCCTTTGGGCCTGTCGAGGGGATCTCCTGCAAGAATGACTGAGCACAGTCCTACAACGGGTGAACCCCGGCGATTTTTCAACACTGTTGGAGGAAAGGCTGTTGTTGGTTGACAGCATGTTATAAGGCGGAGGATCACTGTGTAGGAGAAACAGTGCCCCTTACTATTAACCATCCACGGTTGGTAGAGCCCCGGTCTTACGACCATTTTGAAAGTGGTCCTCCGCGCTTGTAACATGCTGTCAACCAACAACACGTTTTCAACAGAACAACGTTTATCTAATAGGAAAGGGTATGTGGGTATGTGTGTGGGGGGGGGGGGGGGGGGAGTTGTCTGCACCCTCCGAGCTCCCACTAGCTATGTTCCAGGCTGTGAATATGGCATAGCGGTTACTCCCGTCCTCGGTGATGTGCGCTTGTTGTACAGAGTCTTCATCTTACCTATTCAATAGCTTACTGAATCCGCCAACAATCCCAGTGAGGTAGGTGTCTCGCCAGAAAAAGGAGAGAGGGCGAGTGAGTGGCGCATTGTTTCTGGAAATAAACGTGTGCATCTCTCCTTAGCTTCTGCCTGGCACTGCCATTCTCGCTCCGCTTGTTGAGAATAATTCTTGCCGACAGCCGCCGCCGAAAAGGAGCCTGGAAACACGCCAGCGCCGACACTTTGGCTGCTGAAGCCCAGGAGTGTTTGGCCGAAGTCGGCGACTCGGCACGGAGTCACCGTGTGGTCATTCTGATACATGTAGGTTTACTTGCTTCCATGATGTCAAAGACAGACAAACTACAATACCGGTAGTGCGACGGAACCAAACTGGGAACACGGCGAAAGAAGGGCAAACGCCAGGGGCAGCGCCAATAAAAGCGCTAACGGGTGTGAACACCAGGAACTAAACAGAGCAC